GTTTTTAAAGAAATAGAAAGGGCAAAATTAAATTTACCTTCCAATTGAGAAAAGGTACATGTATGAATCATACTTGTTTTATTATCTGTTATAAATGTTATGCTTGTTTCATAACCACTAATATTTACTTTTACAAAATTCTTGATATATTTTTGATCAATTTGATTTTTTGTGAAAAATTCTGTTTCTTTACACAAAAGCTTTTTCTGTTTTGGATTATATAAAATTGGATAGAAGACTTGAAATTTCCTCAAATATAAGTAAAATAAGTTAAATTTGATATATAATGCAAAGATATCTAAAGATTTTATGAAGAAAAAGTACACTGTAATTATGCCATTTTTAAAATGTGAACAGGATTATATTTACATTCAGTAGTATGTCTATAACATTTTATACATAAAGTTCTTATGTGACGAGCACCGGTCTGAATACTTTAAAATAAAAAATACAAAAAACAATAGAACAAAACACTAATTACGAACACTGCGTAGTGTGTTTTCCCATCAAATCTTAGATAAATTCCACGATGATACGATGATATTTTACATGGAAAAGAGACTGAGCTAATAGAGTCATATGATGCTTCTTTGCAAATTATATTTGTCAATTCAGTAGGATATTTGATAGGTATTACAACATTAATTATCTTTTCAAAGTATTGTATAGCAAAAAGTTTTCCAATGATATACTTGTCTGTTTCACTAAAAGAATGGAAAGTTAAATTATAAGAAATTCTTCTCTGTCCTTCTATTCCATGTAACAACATTAAAGTAAAGAAACTATGTAACAGTTGCATATTGAAAAATAATGTCAACTACTATAATTTATATTTATATATTATGATATTTTTTATTATCTTTGACATTTGTTCCATTCATGGTAATTTACTTAAGATAATTCTTTTAAAAGGTCATTTTTGTGCAGTTAGGGCTAAATAATTGGGGTGTGACTGTTCGGTGCTGAGCAATGTCAAGCATCTAAATGTTTCTTTTTTTCCCAACAAAAGTGAAGTGAACCTGCACTGTAGTAATCTATGAATTAGGTTAGGAAAGGCTGCAATTGAAAAAGGCTTCAAGCTTACCAAATATACTGAATTTCAAATAGATTTCATAATGTTTCTACCAGTTTTTTCTATTTAAATAGAATGTTTTACACTGTACTATAGCAACAAGTGTGGTCACATATATGTAAAAAATATGAATTTTTTTTATTATATGTTATATTATGTATCATTTGAAGAGAGTGAAGGCCTTAACATAAATGTAATGTATTTATTGTACATCATTTTTGTCAGATATACTTTCTAACGCCCACAGTTGAAAATGCCGGGTGCAGGAGAAAACGTCCACAGGAGAAAATGTCCACAACTGAGGAGAAAATGTCCATAGTGAAAGAGAATTTTTCTTTTTAAAACCTTTCGAGATTAAGATGAAAAGGAAAATTGAGAGAATAAATATATAATTTGTATTTATGATATTATGATATGTTGAAAACAAAAACTAAAAACTACAAAACAAACTACAAAAAAATTACAAAAGATTAAGTTTATAACATGGTAACAAGCTAAATGAATGAGTTATGATGCAATATAAATGCTGGCTGCCTTTTCCAATAAATCTGATGCAGATATTAATCTGACCTCAAATTTCTCCCATGAGCCAAAGATCTGACTTTGAATTTTCTGATAAGGCTTTCTCTGTTGTCTACATCTTTTTCTCACTTAATAATTTCTTGTACAATGTAATCAACTCTGCTTCTCTCTTTAATTCATCAATGATAACATACAATGAAGAATTGGCATCAATATTCATTGATATCAGGTATGATAACATGGTCACTGTTGCAGAGAAAAATGGCATTGTACCCAATCTATCTGGAATTAAGCAGTTTTTCCATAGTTGGTACTATAAACCTGGGAAAACACTTTATGTTATCATACATAATATTTGTTTGAGTATTGTAGTTTCAATGGTATGTATCATCATTTTCAACTATATTATTGGAAGAAGAAAACAAAGAGAAGAAACTGCTACCCCAAGTGAGGGCACAGATAACTCTCCTGAAAACCCAAAACTAATGAAACAAAGTTGTAGCTCTAGTCGACATCAAACTAATGAAGAAGAACAACCACCTGTAATTCTCATTAAATCAAGGTGAAGGGACTCATCTTCACAAAGAAGGGGGAAGTTGTACAACTTTGGTTATATTTTACATGCTTGAACTCTTTTATTTGATGCAACATATACATGTACATCTTAAAACCTACACAAGAAAATGCTATAACATTGGCCAAACATAAGTCTGATTAGTCAGATTGAAGGCTCATCTTTAATTATCAATAAAGGTTTGGCCAAGTTATAATTTAATTAACTTGCCTAGGGTGTGGCCAAGTTATAATTCAATTAACCTTCCTAAATGTTCAACCTTGTAACATCCTGTTACTAAAGATAAATATGAACTACACATTTCGGCAAAGTGATGATTGGATGTCAGAGGCAAACCTCAAAGTATATAAATCCTCACTATTCTCATTCTGCATGCAGCTTCCATCTGGACCCAAGGACCTGGGAAAATCATCTGGAAACAACATCCACTGGAACCATCCATCTACTCCTCAACATTAGAAGAGTGTTTGGTAATTTGGCAACCTGCTTTTACAAACTATCTACTCTGCTATCGAACTCTCATATTGTTACTTGCTTAAGTATTATTATTAAATAAACCGTTTTAATTTAAACATTTGTTTAAAGGTTTGAGTAGAACCAGTATTGTTATAACTTGCAAACACATAGATTTTGCCAGCAAGAGCAGTACACTATCTATAGAGGTTCAAAATAGTTATTATTGGATAGATCCTGAAGTTGTCAGGACCACTCAATGAAAACCTTGCCTCATCCGTAAATATGACTCTTGACCAATCTAAGTTATCTCGAATAGTTTTTAAACAATACTGTTTCCTTCTGTTGCAGTCATTGCTTGTGAGATCAACTCTTTGTCAAATTCGTTTATAACGAAAATTTTGCAATTTCAACTCTCTCTGAATTGTCTTCAGGCCTAAATCTACCTCTAATTCATTTAAAATCTTCCTAGCAGTTACCCTTTCCTTGTTTCTTTTAAGTCTCTTCACAATCCTATTCATTCTTGCTACATCTCTTTCTGTGAGTCTCTTTGGACGACCCCTATTCTCTTGTTTGGGTGGCTTATACCTTAAAATGTCGCTAACTGTAGATGATGCCATTCCCAAAGCCCTTGCAGTTTCCCTTACTTTCCCCAATTCTTCATATTTCTGGATTACCAGGTTCCTAACCTCTTTTCCCCATGCCATAATGAAATAAATGATATAAAAATTAACTAAAGTAGGTAAAATAGATAATAAGTAATCAACTTAACTTGGAAAATTAATTTTGTTGAAAAAAATGTCAGTTTAAGACGTCTATTTAAAAGCAAAACCTGATGTAATCCGGATGTATTTAGACAAAAAAACCAATTGAAAACAAAGATAATATTTTTGGGGTGTTTTCAAAATTGGCCTATCAAAATTTACAGTGTCCGGGTATTTTAGACCGTCACTTTATATAACATTTAAATAATCTTTGAAGTTGTATTGAAAACCTGTTTTACCAAACAAAAGGTTATTTTATTGAGCCTACTTTTGCTATGTTGGTAAAAGACTATTTAAGACTGAATACCAATTGTATGGTGATAAATATCTGTATGGAGCCAAAAATATTTTACAAGTACAATATTGCAACATGTGGCTCTTTGTGGTTTTACATGTCCTATATCCTGGTCTCCAACAGTCAAATGTGCTATGGCTACTTGCCATACAGTTTTCACATAGGTTCAGCCTTCTAACTGCTTTGCTTCGATCCTCAATGCTCATTGTTATGAATTGTGGGTAATTCCTTAATGGTGTGGCTTTCCACATATATAACAATCTATTTCTTTTCTTTTCCTTTGTTGCCCTGCCCATTTTTTCTAACACAGCAAAGGCGGCACCGAATTTTGTTTTTATTTCCCCATATTCTGAGCATAGGAATTTCATTGTACTATTGTTGGCATCCTTTGGTGATGATCTGAATCTTTCTACCTCTTCTTACTCCATACCCAAGTGCCCTATTTCATCATCATCAATGCTATCTTCCATCCTATCAAAGGCACATGCATCCTTTTGTGTGGTCCGGCATTGCTAGCCAGATGTTGTATGTTTTAGCCTACTTATATGGACTTGTGTCATTGATAGGTCTTCATCATTGCTTTCGTTTGCAGTTACTGCACTGTTTCTCTTCCTTTTTCTGGAAGACATCCCTCTTTCACTAGAACAGCTGCTGCTCTGTGTTGAGCCATGACTGTTATTTTGGTCTTTTGCTGCCCCAATATAAATATTATTTATATCTGCTTCAATATTCTCCTTTCTCACATCATCATCAATGGAGCGTATAACAAGATAAAGACTTACGGTCTCTCTTTTGTTTTTGTTCACTACCGTAATTTCATTAATTGTTTAAATAAATTAGTAATAGCATCAAAATGCTATTTTCACTCATCGTCGATCTTAAAGCCCTCTATACAACCGGTTTAGTGAGTTTTTTGTTTAATTATAGTCTAACAATTCATACACATATTGAAGTTTCAATACAAATTTTTTAATAGGTAACCTGCTGCCCTATTATTGCTAATTTCGTTTACGCATGATCTGTCTCACTTGTCTGTGACGTTTAAAAAGGAGCTGTTTGGAATAGGTTGAACTATTCAAAAGTAAATTACTTGGTGTAGTTGTGAAGGAAGCTCAACTCTGAGGTATTTGTTGATGATAAAAACTGTATATTATTAATATTTATGAATTAGAAACAAGTATAGTGTTTAATGAATGTAATATAGAATAACTATGCTATTTATAATTAACTTTATTATGAGACAAGATGTAGTGATAAGTGTCAATTTCTATATAGAAAACTCTCAAAAGTTTAAGGAAAACTGAATATGTTGAAGGTCACAATGTTTGGTCAATTTATCATTCTATTGAAAATAATTCATCTGGTTTCGTGCGAGTATCATGACTATATAATAGTTGGAGCTGGGCCTTCAGGACTTCAAATGGGCTCTTTCCTAGAGGACAAAAAAAGAGACTACGTGATTTTAGAAAGAGGAAACTCATCAGGTAGGAATATATACATATGAAATTTAGTAAAACTTGATTATAGAATAGCATCTCCTTTTAATTTTATCCAATTAGGAACTTTCTTTAAAACATTCCCAAGGCATAATACTTTAATTTCTATCAATAAAAGATTCACTGGTAAAACTAATAAAGAGTTTAATTTTCGACACGATTGGAATTCTTTGATTAGTAATGATGAAGCGTTACTTTTCAAAGAGTATAGCAAAGGTAAACATTTATTTTAATATTATATATATTATGTTAAAATCTATTAATTTTTCTATAGATTTCTTCCCTGATAAGGGCGATTATCTTCAATATTTAAGTGATTTTGAAAAGAAATTAGGGCTAAACACTCGTTTCAATACAAATATTATATCATCTCGAAAGATTGACAATGGTACCATTGAACTAACTGATGAAAAAGAAGTAACATTCCTTTGCAAGTAAGTTATCATTAGTTTATTCGAAACATTACGTATATATCTATAATATCTCAGATATTTAATTGTTGCTACTGGTATATTCAAACCTCTGAAAGTCCCTTTCAATGGTAGTGAATATGTAACGTTCTATGATGATATGATCTTAGATCCACACTATTATGAGGGAAAAAATGTCCTAATACTTGGTAAAGGAAATACTGCAAATGAAGTTGCTACTTCTTTATTCCCTTATGCAAATGTTGTACATATGGGAAGTAGGAGTAGAGTGAAACTATCCTGGTCAACTCATTATGTTGGAGATTTAAGGGCCATTAATAACAATATATTAGATAATTATCAATTGAAAGCCTTAGATGGTATATTTGAAGTTGACGTTCGAGAATTATCAATTTTTAAGAGAGATGACGGACGTTTCATGTTAGAAGATCCCTTATTAAAGGTCAACGTCAAGGACGATAATTTTTCTTTTAGAGATCCGTATGATGTCATAATATCCTGCCTTGGTTGGATATGGGATGAAACGCCATGGGTAGGATTAATTTAAAGAAACATAGAGACCAAAAGTTGCAAAAATTTCCAAAGATTAATGATATGTACGAAGCAGTGGATAATTCGAATATTTACTTTACAGGTTTGTCCTTATTATGTAATAAAAAAGAGGTTACCAAGATGTAGCTTTATTTGTCTTGTCTATTCCTTTAATCACTTTATCTTTTCAGGTGTATTAACACATTCATTAGATTTCAAAAAATCGGCTGGAGGTTTTATTCACGGTTATAGGTATACTACTAGAGCCTTACACAGGTTATTGGAGTGGAAGAATCATGGTGTTGTCTGCCTCATCAACCTGCAGAACCATTTAATCAGCTTGTACCTTGGATCGTTAAAAGAGTGAATGAAGCTTCTGCACCTTACCAAATGTTTCAGGTGCTTGGAGATGTCATAGTTATCAACGAGTAAGTATTTAAATAGTGTAAAATGCCAATCATGTAGTGGACTTTTCTTTCTTTTTAAACTATTATTCGGGAAAAGACATATAATCATTTAAATATACTGCTTGTCTACCGGTTTTGAACATTTTACCATTAGAAATGATTGAATAGAAATAAATAAAACTTGTTTTACAGAAAAGAGGAAACGTTTGAAGCGTATGAAGAATATCCCCTAACCTCTCTTGATGAATTTGAAATTAGGACAGGTCGAAATGTTACAATCCGTTATTGTAGTGGTTTTTGAGTATGGGGATGGGTTTTCAGGTGAAGAAAATGTGAGCTATTATTTAATTATCACTAATTCCTATCATCCTTATTTTTAACACTTGAATTAAAGGATCCATTCAAGTATGACCGATCTGCTGGCTCACCCGAAGAGGCTCATCTGAGCAATTTTCTCCATCCGTTGCTGTACTATTATAAGAAATTACCAACAAGTGAGTGATATATTACATAAGCCATTCTACTACTTGCAATAAATTAAAGCTATAATTAATGTAATACAAACAAAAATCATTAGAGTCAGAGATGATTATGACGAAAACAACCAGGAAATTTAAAATTACCAAAGCCAGATAGACTTCATCATGTCCTTGAAGATTTCTTAACGAATTTCGATACCCGTTATAGTCACATTGTACCATTGAGGCGATTTGTCGAACACGTTTTATCAAAGGATCTTCGAAGTTTTTCCGAAGAAGATTGTATTCAAGAAGCTTTTACTGGACTTAACGTTCCCCACGACTGCAAAGCATTTTACTTTAAAGATTTCCAATTCAATTTATCATAATTTCATATAATGCTAATTCGGCTAACTTTCTTCTATTTAACATGACAAGTGTGCTGTCTTTTATTTGGAGTACAAAAAGTAATATAGCTACTGTTTTCTAACACTGAAGAAATCATTAATATATAAAAACATTAATTTAGAGTAATCTTATAGTTTACTATAATAATTCTATCATTAAAATAGGCCAATAAAATATATTTTTTGTCCTTTAAAGAATGTAATTTGCGTATTATATAAATAAATAGGTTACTGAATATAAGAGAAAGAAAAGAAGAAGAGAAATTTCTCTGATGAACCTTTTTCGTAGAAACCCATAGACCATTTGAATTTAGGACAAATAAAACATTTTTGTTATGGAAGAAGATTATCCTAAGAATAGAATTTGTCTTAAATCTGTAAATTATTATTATTTATATTATATTTTTAATACATTAAAGGATTTATATGCACTAATCTTATTTCCTCAGGAACGAATCTATCGTTGTGCATCCATCTTTCAAAGATTTAATGACGAATGTATTACAGGGATTAAAGAAGAGGAAGTTTCTGTAGAATATAGTAGGATTACTTCACCTCCTTTCTATCTATCTTTCCCTATCCCTTTCTCAGTTTCATTTCATCTTATTAGAATTTCTTTTAACATAAAAACTGTACAAAAGGTGAAAGGCCTAATTAAATTGCACAAAATACCATAAGGACTATGGAAATCTACAGAGGAATGATGAATAATTTGAAAAATCTGGGAAATTTAATTTGTATAATGATTCTATTGGAAGAAGTGACAAACAGTTTGTTAAAGAATTTTTTCATTCTATATAGAATTTATCTCCTTTTTCCCCAAAAAATAGAAAATCAATTCTGTTCGAGTAATATGAATTGTTTACAATTTGAAATTTGTCAATTTGGTAAATGCAGATGTAATTTACAATTTGGACGAGATTTCTGTGATAATAGTAGGACTAATACCTTTCTTTTTTTCATAAAACATTACTTTTCATTTCTTTACAAAGGTCACAATCTCATTTTAAAAAGTATGGAAAATACTTTGGTTCTAAACTTGCCTACATTCTGCCATAGTCAACATATTAATATTGCAACTAACCCCCACTATTTCTCCTTACTTTACCTTTTTAATATTAAAATGGGTGCACTTGTAGGCATAGAAATATCAAAATAGTATTTAACAATACTCTGCCTGCCTAGTGTACAACACACCCTTTTTTTATACTAGTTAAAGGTAGTTGTAGAATATACTTACAACTAAACTTAAATTCTAGTTTTTATTAATTTGCACATCATATTTAATGATCATTAATTGTATCTTACACTATTTCATATATATTTGAAGTAGTTCATTGTCACTTCAACAAGTATTGTAAGCACAATACTATTGTAGATGGCCAAGTGAAATTAACCTTACTCTGCCAATGGCTTATACTCAAATATTTTACTTTTGACAAACAATTATTATTAATAATTTGTGGTATTTAAAAACAGCATTATGATGACCTCTGTCTATTTTTGTGTGTTGGAACCAATCCAACATTTACCAAAATTGTTACATCTTATGCAATTTTCTGACCTATTGACAACAGTTTTCCTTAACAAAGCAAAGTTAACAAATATGGAACCATATTTGAACTTTCCTTTTATCCATAATGATACATTTGTTTTGCGTAGATATTTTTATCTATGAACTGTCAACTTTTGGAAAAGTATATAGAGCCTATGAATTTATGAATAGGGGTGAAACTGTTACCAGGTGAAAACCATACCCATACTGGGTGAAACCATACCCCATAGAAATATTAGGTTTTTTTAATTTTATTAATACTAAAGAAAAGTATATATAATACTAAGAAAATGATAATAGATTAAGACATAACTTTGAAAGATTCTTTATAGAATGGAAAAAGTTATGTCTTAATCTATTATCATTTTCTTAGTATTATATATACTTTTCTTTAGTATTAATAAAATTAAAAAAACCTAATATTTCTATGGGTATGGTTTCACCCCAGTATGGGTATGGTTTCACCTGGTAACAGTTTCACCCCTATTCATAAATTCATAGGCTCTATATACTTTTCCCAAAAGTTGACAGTTCATAGATAAAAATATCTACGCAAAACAAATGTATCATTATGGATAAAAGGAAAGTTCAAATATGGTTCCATATTTGTTAACTTTGCTTTGTTAAGGAAAACTGTTGTCAATAGGTCAGAAAATTGCATAAGATGTAACAATTTTTTGGTAAATGTTGGATTGGTTCCAACACACAAAAATAGACAGAGGTCATCATAATGCTGTTTTTAAATACCACAAATTATTAATAATAATTGTTTGTCAAAAGTAAAATATTTGAGTATAAGCCATTGGCAGAGTAAGGTTAATTTCACTTGGCCATCTACAATAGTATTGTGCTTACAATACTTGTTGAAGTGACAATGAACTACTTCAAATATATATGAAATAGTGTAAGATACAATTAATGATCATTAAATATGATGTGCAAATTAATAAAAACTAGAATTTAAGTTTAGTTGTAAGTATATTCTACAACTACCTTTAACTAGTATAAAAAAGGGTGTGTTGTACACTAGGCAGCAGAGTATTGTTAAATACTATTTTGATATTTCTATGCCTACAAGTGCACCCATTTTAATATTAAAAAGGTAAAGTAAGGAGAAATAGGTGGGGGTTAGTTGCAATATTAATATGTTGACTATGGCAGAATGTAGGCAAGTTTAGAACCAAAGTATTTTCCATACTTTTTAAATGAGATTGTGACCTTTGTAAAGAAATGAAAAGTAATGTTTTATGAAAAAAAGAAAGGTATTAGTCCTACTATTATCACAGAAATCTCGTCCAAATTGTAAATTACATCTGCATTTACCAAATTGACAAATTTCAAATTGTAAACAATTCATATTACTCGAACAGAATTGATTTTCTATTTTTTGGGGAAAAAGGAGATAAATTCTATATAGAATGAAAAAATTCTTTAACAAACTGTTTGTCACTTCTTCCAATAGAATCATTATACAAATTAAATTTCCCAGATTTTTCAAATTATTCATCATTCCTCTGTAGATTTCCATAGTCCTTATGGTATTTTGTGCAATTTAATTAGGCCTTTCACCTTTTGTACAGTTTTTATGTTAAAAGAAATTCTAATAAGATGAAATGAAACTGAGAAAGGGATAGGGAAGATAGATAGAAAGGAGGTGAAGTAATCCTACTATATTCTACAGAAACTTCCTCTTCTTTAATCCCTGTAATACATTCGTCATTAAATCTTTGAAAGATGGATGCACAACGATAGATTCGTTCCTGAGGAAATAAGATTAGTGCATATAAATCCTTTAATGTATTAAAAATATAATATAAATAATAATAATTTACAGATTTAAGACAAATTCTATTCTTAGGATTAATCTTCTTCCATAACAAAAAATGTTTTATTTGTCCTAAATTCAAATGGTCTATGGGTTTTCTACGAAAAAGGTTCATCAGAGAAATTTCTCTTCTTCTTTTCTTTCTCTATATTTCAGTAACCTATTTATTTATATAATACGCAAATTACATTCTTTAAAGGACAAAAAATATATTTTATTGGCCTATTTTAATGATAGAATTATTATAGTAAACTATAAGATTACTCTAAATTAATGTTTTTATATATTAATGATTTCTTCAGTGTTAGAAAACAGTAGCTATATTACTTTTGTACTCCAAATAAAAGACAGCACACTTGTCATGTTAAATAGAAGAAAGTTTAGCCGAATTAGCATTATATGAAATTATGATAAATTGAATTGGAAATCTTTAAAGTAAAATGCTTTGCAGTCGTGGGGAACGTTAAGTCCAGTAAAAGCTTCTTGAATACAATCTTCTTCGGAAAAACTTCGAAGATCCTTTGATAAAACGTGTTCGACAAATCGCCTCAATGGTACAATGTGACTATAACGGGTATCGAAATTCGTTAAGAAATCTTCAAGGACATGATGAAGTCTATCTGGCTTTGGTAATTTTAAATTTCCTGGTTGTTTCGTCATAATCATCTCTGACTCTAATGATTTTTGTTTGTATTACATTAATTATAGCTTTAATTTATTGCAAGTAGTAGAATGGCTTATGTAATATATCACTCACTTGTTGGTAATTTCTTATAATAGTACAGCAACGGATGGAGAAAATTGCTCAGATGAGCCTCTTCGGGTGAGCCAGCAGATCGGTCATACTTGAATGGATCCTTTAATTCAAGTGTTAAAAATAAGGATGATAGGAATTAGTGATAATTAAATAATAGCTCACATTTTCTTCACCTGAAAACCCATCCCCATACTCAAAAACCACTACAATAACGGATGTAACATTTCGACCTGTCCTAATTTCAAATTCATCAAGAGAGGTTAGGGGATATTCTTCATACGCTTCAAACGTTTCCTCTTTTCTGTAAAACAAGTTTTATTTATTTCTATTCAATCATTTCTAATGGTAAAATGTTCAAAACCGGTAGACAGCAGTATATTTAAATGATTATATGTCTTTTCCCGAATAATAGTTTAAAAAGAAAGAAAAGTCCACTACATGATTGGCATTTTACACTATTTAAATACTTACTCGTTGATAACTATGACATCTCCAAGCACCTGAAACATTTGGTAAGGTGCAGAAGCTTCATTCACTCTTTTAACGATCCAAGGTACAAGCTGATTAAATGGTTCTGCAGGTTGATGAGGCCAGACAACACCATGATTCTTCCACTCCAATAACCTGTGTAAGGCTCTAGTAGTATACCTATAACCGTGAATAAAACCTCCAGCCGATTTTTTGAAATCTAATGAATGTGTTAATACACCTGAAAAGATAAAGTGATTAAAGGAATAGACAAGACAAATAAAGCTACATCTTGGTAACCTCTTTTTTATTACATAATAAGGACAAACCTGTAAAGTAAATATTCGAATTATCCACTGCTTCGTACATATCATTAATCTTTGGAAATTTTTGCAACTTTTGGTCTCTATGTTTCTTTAAATTTAATCCTACCCATGGCGTTTCATCCCATATCCAACCAAGGCAGGATATTATGACATCATACGGATCTCTAAAAGAAAAATTATCGTCCTTGACGTTGACCTTTAATAAGGGATCTTCTAACATGAAACGTCCGTCATCTCTCTTAAAAATTGATAATTCTCGAACGTCAACTTCAAATATACCATCTAAGGCTTTCAATTGATAATTATCTAATATATTGTTATTAATGGCCCTTAAATCTCCAACATAATGAGTTGACCAGGATAGTTTCACTCTACTCCTACTTCCCATATGTACAACATTTGCATAAGGGAATAAAGAAGTAGCAACTTCATTTGCAGTATTTCCTTTACCAAGTATTAGGACATTTTTTCCCTCATAATAGTGTGGATCTAAGATCATATCATCATAGAACGTTACATATTCACTACCATTGAAAGGGACTTTCAGAGGTTTGAATATACCAGTAGCAACAATTAAATATCTGAGATATTATAGATATATACGTAATGTTTCGAATAAACTAATGATAACTTACTTGCAAAGGAATGTTACTTCTTTTTCATCAGTTAGTTCAATGGTACCATTGTCAATCTTTCGAGATGATATAATATTTGTATTGAAACGAGTGTTTAGCCCTAATTTCTTTTCAAAATCACTTAAATATTGAAGATAATCGCCCTTATCAGGGAAGAAATCTATAGAAAAATTAATAGATTTTAACATAATATATTAATATTAAAATAAATGTTTACCTTTGCTATACTCTTTGAAAAGTAACGCTTCATCATTACTAATCAAAGAATTCCAATCGTGTCGAAAATTAAACTCTTTATTAGTTTTACCAGTGAATCTTTTATTGATAGAAATTAAAGTATTATGCCTTGGGAATGTTTTAAAGAAAGTTCCTAATTGGATAAAATTAAAAGGAGATGCTATTCTATAATCAAGTTTTACTAATTTCATATGTATATATTCCTACCTGATGAGTTTCCTCTTTCTAAAATCACGTAGTCTCTTTTTTTGTCCTCTAGGAAAGAGCCCATTTGAAGTCCTGAAGGCCCAGCTCCAACTATTATATAGTCATGATACTCGCACGAAACCAGATGAATTATTTTCAATAGAATGATAAATTGACCAAACATTGTGACCTTCAACATATTCAGTTTTCCTTAAACTTTTGAGAGTTTTCTATATAGAAATTGACACTTATCACTACATCTTGTCTCATAATAAAGTTAATTATAAATAGCATAGTTATTCTATATTACATTCATTAAACACTATACTTGTTTCTAATTCATAAATATTAATAATATACAGTTTTTATCATCAACAAATACCTCAGAGTTGAGCTTCCTTCACAACTACACCAAGTAATTTACTTTTGAATAGTTCAACCTATTCCAAACAGCTCCTTTTAAACGTCACAGACAAGTGAGACAGATCATGCGTAAACGAAATTAGCAATAATAGGGCAGCAGGTTACCTATTAAAAAATTTGTATTGAAACTTCAATATGTGTATGAATTGTTAGACTATAATTAAACAAAAACTCACTAAACCGGTTGTATAGAGGGCTTTAAGATCGACGATGAGTGAAAATAGCATTTTGATGCTATTACTAATTTATTTAAACAATTAATGAAATTACGGTAGTGAACAAAAACAAAAGAGAGACCGTAAGTCTTTATCTTGTTATACGCTCCATTGATGATGATGTGAGAAAGGAGAATATTGAAGCAGATATAAATAATATTTATATTGGGGCAGCAAAAGACCAAAAAACAGTCATGGCTCAACACAGAGCAGCAGCTGTTCTAGTGAAAGAGGGATGTCTTCCAGAAAAAGGAAGAGAAACAGTGCAGTAACTGCAAACGAAAGCAATGATGAAGACCTATCAATGACACAAGTCCATATAAGTAGGCTAAAACATACAACATCTGGCTAGCAATGCCGGACCACACAAAAGGATGCATGTGCCTTTGATAGGATGGAAGATAGCATTGATGATGATGAAATAGGCACTTGGGTATGGAGTAAGAAGAGGTAGAAAGATTCAGATCATCACAAAGGATGCCAACAATAGTACAATGAAATTCCTATGCTCAGAATATGGGGAAATAAAACAAAATTCGGTGCCGCCTTTGCTGTGTTAGAAAAAATGGGCAGGGCAACAAAGGAAAGAAAAGAAATAGATTGTTATATATGTGGAAAGCCACACCATTAAGGAATTACCCACAATTCATAACAATGAGCATTGAGGATCGAAGCAAAGCAGTTAGAAGGCTGAACCTATGTGAAAACTGTATGGCAAGTAGCCATAGCACATTTGACTGTTGGAGACCAGGATATAGGACATGTAAAACCACAAAGAGCCACATGTTGCAATATTGTACTTGTAAAATATTTTTGGCTCCATACAGATATTATCACCATACAATTGGTATTCAGTCTTAAATAGTCTTTTACCAACATAGCAAAAGTAGGCTCAATAAAATAACCTTTTGTTGGTAAAACAGGTTTTCAATACAACTTCAAAGATTATTTAAATGTTATATAAAGTGACGGTCTAAAATACCCGGACACTGTAAATTTTGATAGGCCAATTTTGAAAACACCCCAAAAATATTATCTTTGTTTTCAATTGGTTTTTTTTGTCTAAATACATCCGGATTACATCAGGTTTTGCTTTTAAATAGACGTCTTAAACTGACATTTTTTTCAACAAAATTAATTTTCCAAGTTAAGTTGATTACTTATTATCTATTTTACCTACTTTAGTTAATTTTTATATCATTTATTTCATTATGGCATGGGGAAAAGAGGTTAGGAACCTGGTAATCCAGAAATATGAAGAATTGGGGAAAGTAAGGGAAACTGCAAGGGCTTTGGGAATGGCATCATCTACAGTTAGCGACATTTTAAGGTATAAGCCACCCAAACAAGAGAATAGGGGTCGTCCAAAGAGACTCACAGAAAGAGATGTAGCAAGAATGAATAGGATTGTGAAGAGACTTAAAAGAAACAAGGAAAGGGTAACTGCTAGGAAGATTTTAAATGAATTAGAGGTAGATTTAGGCCTGAAGACAATTCAGAGAGAGTTGAAATTGCAAAATTTTCGTTATAAACGAATTTGACAAAGAGTTGATCTCACAAGCAATGACTGCAACAGAAGGAAACAGTATTGTTTAAAAACTATTCGAGATAACTTAGATTGGTCAAGAGTCATATTTACGGATGAGGCAAGGTTTTCATTGAGTGGTCCTGACAACTTCAGGATCTATCCAATAATAACTATTTTGAACCTCTATAGATAGTGTACTGCTCTTGCTGGCAAAATCTATGTGTTTGCAAGTTATAACAATACTGGTTCTACTCAAACCTTTAAACAAATGTTTAAATTAAAACGGTTTATTTAATAATAATACTTAAGCAAGTAACAATATGAGAGTTCGATAGCAGAGTAGATAGTTTGTAAAAGCAGGTTGCCAAATTACCAAACACTCTTCTAATGTTGAGGAGTAGATGGATGGTTCCAGTGGATGTTGTTTCCAGATGATTTTCCCAGGTCCTTGGTCCAGATGGAAGCTGCATGCAGAATGAGAATAGTGAGGATTTATATACTTTGAGGTTTGCCTCTGACATCCAATCATCACTTTGCCGAAATGTGTAGTTCATATTTATCTTTAGTAACAGGATGTTACAAGGTTGAACATTTAGGAAGGTTAATTGAATTATAACTTGGCCACACCCTAGGCAAGTTAATTAAATTATAACTTGGCCAAACCTTTATTGATAATTAAAGATGAGCCTTCAATCTGACTAATCAGACTTATGTTTGGCCAATGTTATAGCATTTTCTTGTGTAGGTTTTAAGATGTACATGTATATGTTGCATCAAATAAAAGAGTTCAAGCATGTAAAATATAACCAAAGTTGTACAACTTCCCCCTTCTTTGTGAAGATGAGTCCCTTCACCTTGATTTAATGAGAATTACAGGTGGTTGTTCTTCTTCATTAGTTTGATGTCGACTAGAGCTACAACTTTGTTTCATTAGTTTTGGGTTTTCAGGAGAGTTATCTGTGCCCTCACTTGGGGTAGCAGTTTCTTCTCTTTGTTTTCTTCTTCCAATAATATAGTTGAAAATGATGATACATACCATTGAAACTACAATACTCAAACAAATATTATGTATGATAACATAAAGTGTTTTCCCAGGTTTATAGTACCAACTATGGAAAAACTGCTTAATTCCAGATAGATTGGGTACAATGCCATTTTTTCTCTGCAACAGTGACCATGTTATCATACCTGATATCAATGAATATTGATGCCAATTCTTCATTGTATGTTATCATTGATGAATTAAAGAGAGAAGCAGAGTTGATTACATTGTACAAGAAATTATTAAGTGAGAAAAAGATGTAGACAACAGAGAAAGCCTTATCAGAAAATTCAAAGTCAGATCTTTGGCTCATGGGAGAAATTTGAGGTCAGATTAATATCTGCATCAGATTTATTGGAAAAGGCAGCCAGCATTTATATTGCATCATAACTCATTCATTTAGCTTGTTACCATGTTATAAACTTAATCTTTTGTAATTTTTTTGTAGTTTGTTTTGTAGTTTTTAGTTTTTGTTTTCAACATATCATAATATCATAAATACAAATTATATATTTATTCTCTCAATTTTCCTTTTCATCTTAATCTCGAAAGGTTTTAAAAAGAAAAATTCTCTTTCACTATGGACATTTTCTCCTCAGTTGTGGACATTTTCTCCTGTGGACGTTTTCTCCTGCACCCGGCATTTTCAACTGTGGGCGTTAGAAAGTATATCTGACAAAAATGATGTACAATAAATACATTACATTTATGTTAAGGCCTTCACTCTCTTCAAATGATACATAATATAACATATAATAAAAAAAATTCATATTTTTTACATATATGTGACCACACTTGTTGCTATAGTACAGTGTAAAACATTCTATTTAAATAGAAAAAACTGGTAGAAACATTATGAAATCTATTGAAATTCAGTATATTTGGTAAGCTTGAAGCCTTTTTCAATTGCAGCCTTTCCTAACCTAATTCATAGATTACTACAGTGCAGGTTCACTTCACTTTTGTTGGGAAAAAAAGAAACATTTAGATGCTTGACATTGCTCAGCACCGAACAGTCACACCCCAATTATTTAGCCCTAACTGCACAAAAATGACTTTTAAAAGAATTATCTTAAGTAAATTACCATGAATGGAACAAATGTCAAAGATAATAAAAAATATCATAATATATAAATATAAATTATAGTAGTTGACATTATTTTTCAATATGCAACTGTTACATAGTTTCTTTACTTTAATGTTGTTACATGGAATAGAAGGACAGAGAAGAATTTCTTATAATTTAACTTTCCATTCTTTTAGTGAAACAGACAAGTATATCATTGGAAAACTTTTTGCTATACAATACTTTGAAAAGATAATTAATGTTGTAATACCTATCAAATATCCTACTGAATTGACAAATATAATTTGCAAGAAGCATCATATGACTCTATTAGCTCAGTCTCTTTTCCATGTAAAATATCATCGTATCATCGTGGAATTTATCTAAGATTTGATGGGAAAAACACACTACGCAGTG